GAATCCGCGATGCCATCCAACAACTGGATTCTCTGAGCTCAGTAGGAAGCATCGCAGATTCTTTTATTGCTCCAGATGGATCTGTTTCTCATGAACATGTAAGTACATGAGATTACTACTTTTTTTTGTATGCCGAAAGGGGCTGTTTGGAATCCCCAGTTGTGGTCTTGGCTAAGGTCTGGATTCTCTTGACAGCTCCCAATCGTAGGCCCACTAATACCTCTTTATCTTGGCTGTATGCTTATTGATGTTCCATTTTTTTGTTACTATTAGATATTCTGTGCACAGTGCAAGTTGAACGAAGCTTTGCCTGATAATGATATTATACTGTGTGATGGAACATGCAATTGTGCATTCCACCAAAAATGTCTTGATCCTCCCTTGGATACTGAAAATAGTAAGTTTCTCACCTCTTTTGAATTTGCTTTGGACCTTTTGGCGACATACCAACTATATTTTCTTCGGAAAAGCTACTTCTAAGTTCAATTGTTAATCTACAGTTCCTCGAGGAGAGCAGGGTTGGTTTTGCAAATTTTGCGAGTGTAAAATGGAAATACTAGAATTAGTCAATGCTCACCTTGGGACCTGCTTTCCGATGAACAGTGGTTGGCAGGTTAGAAATTGCCTAACTCATTGAGAAATGTCAAATTTTCACCCCCAATTACTTTTGGTTTTGCTGCTTTAATAATTCTTGTAACTAATCGCTCTCTATGTAATATAGGATGTCTTCAAGGAAGAAGCCGCTTTCCCCGATGGCAAGAATTCCTTATTAAATCCAGATGAAGAATGGCCTTCGGATGATTCTGAAGATGATGATTATAAACCAGAGAGGAATGTGAACAGCTGCAGCATCAGCAGGGGAGGCAGCGATGACAATGTATCAGAAGAGGAATTGTCAACTGATGTCAGTGTAGGTTCTGATGAATCTACTGATGGGGAAATTGTTTCTGGCCGCAGACAGAGAAGAAGTGTTGATTATAAGAAGTTATATGATGTGAGTATACCAGCCTAAATGTTTCGATTTTTTTTTTTTTTACTTGTTCTTGGTAAATTTTGAATATTAGTATGACCTTTAATTCCTTAATTCCTTTAAATCTTTACTTTTATTCCACTTTTGGGTCTGACACAAGGATAGTTATTAATTTTGAGATAATGATATTACATGGAAATTGGTTGTTGCCAGTCTTTATATGTTTGATTGTGGATGTTCTGGCAATAAAATGTGCCTTGATATAATCAACTTCTGAAACGCTCGTATCATACTTTAATCAATAATATATATATATATATATATATATATATATATATATATTAATTCCTATGGGTTTTATTGTAAAATTTATATCTTGTGGATAATAATGGGGTATAGTATTTGCTGTATAAAAATGGTTCTTTGAGGTGACGATCCGATATTCACTGTGTAGTGCATATTTGTTTTTTCCTACAAGGAAATGTTTGGAAAAGATGGTCCTTTGCTCGAACAAATCAGTGATGATGAAGACTGGGGTCCTGTTAAACGAAAGCGAAGAGAAAAAGAATCTGATGCGGCCAGCACCCTTATGACTCTCTATGAAAGCGAAAGAAATCCAGATGTTGACCATACAGAAGTGAAAAATATACGTTCTTCTGATACGCAAGTTAGAAGGTCCTGCTTCCGAATTCCTCGAAAGGCGGTAGAGGTATTAGAACTCGCCCTCTCTCTCTCTCTGTGGTTACATCTGTCTCTCTTCACTTGCACTCATAATGCTTCCGCCAGAGCTATTTTAAATTTGATGGTAGTATCTGTGTTTCCTAGACTAAAACCTTCTGCTGTAATTTCTTTTTCCAGAAGCTCCGCCAAGTGTTTTCTGAGAATGAACTTCCTTCTAGAGCTGTCAAGGACAATCTTTCAAAGGAGTTGGGCCTTAATCCTGACAAGGTAATGGTGATTGATTAACTACAGATTGTTTGGGCCTTCTTGAACCATCAACTAGTTTGTTGCTCAGTATGAGTTTATTTTCTTGCCAAATTGGATAACGGAAACTATATTTTGGAAGTTATTGATATGTTTTTCGTCCAGTCAAAAACATTGTCTTTCTGGACTCTACGTTATTGGGATTTTGGTGTGAGAGTCAAGGAATGTTAAAATGCGTAGGCATGGTTTTGTAGTATTTACGGATATTAGATGGCTACAAGCTTATTACCTTATCCATCGTTTTAATAACTTTAACGTTGCAATTTTCAGGTTAGTAAATGGTTCAAGAACGCACGTTACTTAGCTCTGAAAACCAGAAAGGTGAGCTATTAGTCCATGTATTTTCTTATACGTCCAACTTCTTTGATTCTACTATTGTTTATTTCTTCTTTTCATCTGTTTTAGCCTCTTTGTTAATTCACTACTAAATAAAATGTTTGATGTGGAGTTGGAAATCTTTTCAACAAAGAGTATGTTGGTCTGAATGAGTCATGGAGCGTTAGGATCTTAAATCTAAACTCCTGAGATTTTATGTCTCTCAATAAACTATGTTGATGGATCTTTTGCGCAACAGGAAGCGAGTGGTAAAGACCATCAGACTTTTACTCCAGGAATCTCCAAGGAACCAGGATATGAAAATGTGACTGGAAAAGCTGCTGATCTCATGGCTTCAGATTCTGATGACGATACCTTAGCTGAAACTGTGGTCCATTCCCCGAAGAATGTTAACGCAGCTTTCCGGAGAAAGCATCCAAAATCACTAAGTAGCCCTTTGAGGAAAAGTCAACAGAAAGCCCCTTCGTGTGGGTCACCCTCAAGGAGCAACAAGGTCTTGGCCTGTCATAATAGATAAATAAATTTCTGAATATTTCTGCGCCTTTTTTTTTCACAAATCCCAGGGCCATTAGTGTTATGGTTATTTTAAGGGTTCTTATGTTTTGGCTGTCATAGCAGCCGTGATTTTGTCAGTAAAATAGTTAAGTAGTTAATTTGCGTCATGAACTTTGCTTGGTTTCTTAATATATGGGATATACCTGAAGTTATGTAGTCCTTGTCCTTCAGAATAAGGTTTGTGAGTTTCCGGAAATTTGCCATCTCGTGTTTTCTATCTAAAAACCATAATAGAAACCAACTGCACGTACCTGACTTTCCAATTTCACAATCCTCAAATCATATACCCTTTTGCATACATGCAAGCAACCTTCTCATCCAATTATCTCTCAAAACTCTGGTTTTGTGGGAAGAAGAATTCTGGATATCAGATCATTCTTCGGGACCTCGTCTTTGCCTCCTCAAGTAGTTCACTTGGTTACATCTTCTTTTAACCTTCTCACAGTTATGACTTGCCTTTGTTTCCACTGTATTGGATTAAAGATTATGTACCTGTCTCTGCTTATTTTTCATTGAATTTAAAGTGACAGATTAGAGATGTTTACGGTTTTCATATCCTATAATTACTACTAATTACCTCTGCTGAAAATATTAATTGACAACAAACTTGACTCATGTGTTGGTTTGCTTTCATACAGGATGGAAAAGAGTCAAGCGATGATGTGAGCTTGAAGAAGCTTATGAACACAAGAACAAAGGAGAAGCGGGCCAACCTTATCGCTGGAGGCGGTGGAGATGGATGTCGAGTTGCAGAGCTGGAAATGGAGAGACTATGCAAAGCCAAAGGTAGGCTAGAACATATGAGGCAGAAATTACTGAAATTGCAAAATGTGAAAGCAAAGCAGAAATCGAATAAATCTCTCTTGCATGAGCACACTGTGATTTATGTTCCAGTAGCACAACTGCGGGAAAAGGTTTGATAATTTGTCATTTTTCTGAATGAAATATAGCATTTTTTTTTACCTCAGTCATCCCATCCCGTCTTTTCAGAATTTATTTGTTTAACATTTTGCTTGTTGTGCAAGAATACTCTCTCTCTCTCTCTCTCTCTCTCTCTCTCATGAACTAGGAGTAGAATGACGCCGCAACTGTGTGCATCATCATTCATTCAGTGTGAAATTGTCGCTGTCTAGAGTTTGCAGTGATGATGATTCAAAGTTGCAGAGATTTGTATTGTTTGTCCAGTTATTTGTTTTTTAATCAGCGGGGAGAGATTTCAACCTGGGACCTCCTTCGATGTTGGAAAAGAAAGTATTACTAGACTAATAGTTAGCAGTCAACTCATTGTGTAAACTTTTGAATGACTTAAGATCATCTTCATAAGGTTGGTAATGTTACGTGTAAAGGTATGTTGAAGGAAGAAACATAAAATTTGTGTCCAACTTGAAGATGGAAGACGAATTACTAGGATTGGATTGGATTGTGTATTCAAATCCAATTAGAGACCAAATGAGGTCAGGGGCGGAGCCACAGCTAGAACCCTAATGGCCATGGCTCTGCCCAGTGGGATTTGTGTGCAGTTACCTCTAATGTCACATAAACTAAATGAACGTGGAAACTGTGAATCTACTTGATCAGGGCCTCTAGGCCCGAAAGGGGTGGATAACTATGATTCGCCACCAGTTGTCCTTTTTAAAAAAAGTCAAAAAAATATGAGAATTAGAGATCAAATGTGAAAGACCAGTCGGCTAAGGTTATGTGATCACCCCTTGTTTTTAAGTTCGAACGGTTGTTTATATAGATTAGAATAGTTTGGAATATCATTTTCTTAATAATAAAAAAAATACACAATTCTTTCTACTTTCTTGTTGGGGGCAATTAGTTAAACAGTAAAAAAATCCAGTTTTTCATTAGAAAGATACAAGGGAAGTGAATTTCAATGTGTAATCTTGACCGTTGATTCCGCTTGATTTATTAAATTTGATAACCATAAATAAAAAGGATGTGATCAGCTAAAAATGACATGTGAAAATCACTTCCCGATTCTAACTGGAGCAGCTCTTATATCGAGTAGGACCAGCATAAAGTCAAACGGGACTAAAAGACAACTAGTCCCGTCGAACGTTGGACTAGAAGAATCGTTTGCTTTCTTTTCATAACCGTTGGAGCTGCACCCTGAACTTTGGACTACACAAAAGCACCTTCAGTTTCAGACTTTTTTTGGCAGCCTCAAAAAGAAGCACTTTAATTTATATCTTGATGCAGCAATGACTTGTCGCATTGTGCAGTGCAGGCTACATCCTAGTCGATTTGATATAAACAACAAACACTGGTAACTTAAACCATAATCCAGTTAACTGTGCTCAAAATTTCTAACTCGATTTGATATATATGATGTTCAATGACTGACGACCCAGGTTCTATACACGCTTTTACCCCACTTCTCACCATATCATAGAGTTTGTATACTTTTTGTACCTACTATGCGGTTTTTCAAATCACCGGCACTCTTGGTTCCTTCCAAAGTATGCTGTTTAGCAGATAACCGCGGCCTCAGCTGCACATCATAAGAAATAATAACCACCCTAAGATAAACCACAAGGATCATACATGGTAAACCGACATATTATGCTCCTACGAGCCATTATGCATATATAAGAATTCAAAATAGTATTTCAAGTAATTGTTTCAACAAAAGCACGTGAATTTGAGACAATGCAACAGCGTTTTAAGTATTAGATATGCCTGAAACTCGCTACAAGAAAGTTGTTCTGGAAACTCTAGTGTAAACCTATTTTCTTTATCCTTTTTGTTCATTGGGTCCTTTAAAAGTCAGTAATTTCCTTAGTTTAGTAAAGTTATTATTGTCTGTTAGACTCTTTTCTCATATCTTCGAGAGGTACTCTTGGTTCCGCATACCACTACTTGCTTATCATAATATACAACTAAAATGAAAACATATCCAAAAACTTATCTATTGGAAGAAGTGCCTGGAAAATACCGTCTCAACATACTTCAGTTGCTTTAGAACTTGATCCGTTTCCAGTTCCTGAGCCAGACACAAAGGAAGAGGGATGACGTTAAATTTAAAGATGGACACCAGACAGACTAGCATATAATGAAGTGAAGAAAGCATATAACAAAGACAAAACCGTAGTGAAGAAAGCAAGATATATTATTTGACATAATAAAAAAATAGTGAAGTGCTCGATACCCTATTGACTACATCTCATTCATGTTTAATCAAAATCCAATGACTGAATGAAATCCCAACAATCCTCAGTGGGTTCGATATGGATAGTTGAGATGCACAATCATTCTGATGCAATCCCAACCATCTATATCTCTAGCAGTGTAAATTGTGATCCATTTTTTTGCTACTACTCTAGTTCTAAGAGTTCCATATGATACGATCTAAAAATCCAGACGTTGTCTATAAACAGAGACATGAAGAGTGTCAGTGATAGGTCCACCTGAGGCACATTACAATCAGCATGGCTTGGATCCCAAAGGATAGAGCAGAAGCACTCCCAGTCATTAGTTTGGACTTCAAAAAGAGGAGCCCTGATATACAAGAATCTTCCAAATTGTTAAAATGCCAAGCATAATCAACAACAAAAGTAGAAAAGCAATTAAGCGATAAAAAAAACAATAAAAACAACTTTAGATCAAAAGTATTAGGTAATATATCAAGATACCAAAAAAATCATCATGAACTATTTTGTGTATTTTGAGACAATTGCCATAAAAAAAGAATCCGGCCAGCAGATTTGTGGTGTAACTTTAAACAATTTAGAGCTACCTATACAAAACAAGTTTGGAATTTGTGAGAAAACAAGTTTGGAGTTTGGAATTTGTGATCCAGTGCCATTGTGTCAAGTCTTAGTTAATCTTCAATCTTCAATCACTAAGACCGAAGAAAACCCCACAAAAACCCCCTGAGAGAGAACCCCCCAACAGACAGGAAAGGAGAGAAGGGCATCTTCGATGTGTTCTTCCAGTATCTAAATTCTAAAGAACCATCAGTCTTGGACTGGAGTTCTCTCTCAAATAATTGTACAACTTCAGAGTTCAGACTGACAAGTCACAAACAACAAGCATCCATTCATATTGGTGTTTCATGTTCTCCGTTAAAGTAATTTCACTCAAATATAGTACTATACATATTATCAGAAAAATTTCCAACTAAATAATCAGATCACGACCTTCACAGGTTCCAATTAAGCGTTAACACAAACCATAAATCAATTACCTGCGCCACTTGCCACATATAGTTCCATTTGCGCGGTCTACAACTTCTCGACATTGAAGCCAATTACCTATAGAGCTATGTCTAGAAGGTTTATTGCAGTTCAGCCCCTACAACAGAAAGACGTGTTACTCCATAGAATTTCCAAACCTCCCATGCCAAATGAAAAAGCCAATTACATATACAAATACAGATCAAGGACTTACATGCAATCTAGCATACTCCGACGAATCTAGTTCCAAAGGTTCACCATTGCCACTGATATCACTGTATCCAATCAAAATAACAAAAGTTGTAACTTGTAACATGCAAAATGAAAGAAAATAAGGATTCAAACCAGAGTTAGGAAAGGCAGATTATGAAAATTTTCTTTACTAGAACACAATAAAAAAAAGATCCCACACAGGTGCCTATGCAGGACAGCTTGCCAATTGTTTAGGAATACAAGCAGCACAAGCAATGAGATCCGTCCTACCAGGCGTGCTAAGTCCTCTGAAAACAAGGATTCATAGCACAAAAACCAAAATGAAACTACTTACCCTACCCTCCTATATAAACCACATAGTGGCTACCTTCATAGTACATATCATTTGAAATGTGACTAATCGAAAGGAAGAGAGACAAGGAAAGCAGGCGGTTTTCACAAGGATATCCATCCAACTAGTGAAGGCAACATATAAACTTCAACTGCATCAAAAGAGTTAAGAGAGAAAATGACAGAATAAACATACCCATTTGTTGGGCCAGACCAGTCAGGAACTTCCGCTTGAAACCCTTTACCAACCCGAACACTAGTTGTATACGGCTCAATGTCTCTCAGCATTAACATTATGGGATTCATTTGGCCCTTGGATGATGCTTCCCTACTCATGACACTCATGATATTGGGCGATGTTTTGGTCACTTTCTCCTGTAAAATCTTATGTTTCTTTTTCAAACAAGAATGACAGAACCATTCATCAATAGGTGGTTTCTTCATACGGGAGTGGCAGCATGACATGTGAAATGCCTCTTCACAATGATCACAAATTAGCATTTTCAAAGTGGTTCCAGAACGACTACAAATGTTGCATGACCGGCGATGGATTTCACCGCTAATGGTGTCAGTGTCTTCAGCAGAACCACCGATCATGGTAGCCTGAGAATCCCCAAGCAGTCCATGGCTTCTAAGAATAGAGATGCATAGATCCTTTTCAGACAGGTCTCCCACAGCCTCCATAACTATTGCACTAGAAGAGGAGCACTCACCTGTTTCATCTACTTCAGTCTTTGCAGAAGTTGAAACATGCTCCATATTTGACTTTGATGATGAGCAACTATCATTCACGCTGCTTACCTCTAAAAGTTTTTGCATGTTATTTTTAGGTGCTTCATCGGAAACTAATTCCTCACCAGCAGAACATCCATTACAATATTCTGAATTTAAAACATGATTGACTCTCTTGCATAAACAAGGAGCTACAGAATGAGCTCGAGTAGCTTCAGTTTCATGGTGTAATTGAGATACAAGCCCTTCCTTAGCAGCAACTGTAGAAGCTTCAGAATTTAGAAAAGAAAAAAAATCACCACTTATAGTGTTTTCTCGCTCTCCTGGAAACACGGTGACACGGTTTCCTTGTAACTTCCTCCTTTTATAAACGAGATTAGGTGCAGAACTTTCTGACATGGTGACTGCTGAAAGCTGGGAAGAGCTTCTGGGAAAATTCAAGGAGCGGGAATCATCAAAATTCTTGTTTTCCTCAGAGATTAGTTGAGCTCTTCTGCAGCTGCAATGATCATCACATTTTTTACACATCTGCCAAGTTTCAGGCACCAGGCATCCAATCACATAAGCCATTGTGAAACCCATGGTTAGATACACAAAATATAGCAGCTTCAATTGAACTAGGAAAGGAACTCAGAATCAACATTTCACCTGAAACCACCTCACTAATATCTGGTGTCCGTTGCTTCCAAGTACCACAGTAACACGCTGATTCACTCTCTAAAATGTTTGAAATATGAGTTTCATATGACAGAAGAGGCATCCCCCAAAGTTTTCTTCATTCTACTGCATCAACCTCTCTGATTCCAACAAGGAAAAAAATGGATCAAGTTTCAAATATGGGGATCATATTGTACATTTTCATGCACTTCTCCAAACGAATTCACTTTCATAAGTAAGATAATTTTTTCAACGCAGGTAGGGAAAAATAAAAAGCAGAAAATGAAAGTGAGACTCTTCATCGTCCAAGCCAACAGGTAACAAAAACTTTCTTGAGACACACACCGTGATGAAACCCTACATGGTACTCCACAAACACATCACCAAGAATAGCTACTATCACCAAGCAATTATAATAAGGTAGGGGGCAACCAAACAGAGAAAAGGTAATTTACAGATTCCACTGTTTGCTTACAATATCTACTGTCAAACCTACTTAAGAAGCTGCCTTAGGTGGGCCAGCATTATAAAATTTCTCTCCAAGGAAAGAAAAAGGATTAAACCCTAATTGATTTCCTTATAGTAAGAAATACCCTCAAACACCCGTTTTTGCATAAACCCCACTTTCACACCGCATCTCCAAGAGAAGTTTGAACAAAATAAAATAAAATACAACCACCCCATAAATAAGTAAACAAACTTTTTTACAGGTTCCAAAATAACAAATGTAGAGAATAATCCTTTTAATAACTTTAACTCCATGACAGAATGCGATCACACCAGAAGGGATTCTAGAAATCACACAAACCTAGAGAGAAGCAAAGTTCCATCAATTTTATTCTATCACTAAATCTGTCGAAAGGGTACATAACATGTAATTTATCAAGACCTAAACCTAATAAAACAGGAAATAACCTAATCATTAAAGAAATAGGAAATTGAAGACTAATGGGCCTGCTGGAACCATACATCAGCAGAATTTACCCTAGACCCATATGACTAGCATTCTCAGAGTGCTAAGATTCTTCTAATGCCATGTGAATCACAAACACATTGGCACTGCTTACAAAACCTCTCTACTTCTGATAGATCCCAGCATCAATACGAGACCCCAAAGAAACAACATATGCAGAACTAGCAGCTTCCCCTTTTGATTAACTAATCATCACAATCCTCTAATGAGCATAATCCAAACAAAAAGCTCCACCCTAGGTGTGATCTTGTCCCAAATTTCTTTCCAATGAAAAGAATTTTGATTCAAAACCAAAACTGTTCTAACAAAGGTCCCCAATTCCACCACCTTCACCGCGATTAAATTCTTAGAAGAAATCTACAACAAATTATAGGGATTCAAGAAATAGCACCTCCATCACACACACACACACACACACAACCATTTGTTTCAGCTTTTAAATCAAATAAATTATGGTAGGCATTCTTCAAGGGGCATTTCCACACCGCATAACTTGATAACATGCACTCGCCTACCAAATATTATCTGGAACCAAAATTCCCTTCTGTGCTATATAACTATCTTCATGATACAACCACCGAAATCCTCATCAGATATTTTTCCCCAAAAATATCTCCACAAGCTCTTCAAGTAAACATCATAAAACCAACTAAGCTCCCCGGTTTCCAAGCCCCCATTCTCAAAAGGCAACCAGTTCTTCAACCCATCAAATTGCTCCAAATTTCAAAACTCCTATAAAAAAACAAGTGACGCACTACGAGAATTTCACTTAATAACCCAAATGAGCGTTGTGCATGCCTAAAAAACCTAAACATACATGTTTAAGCACCAGTGACTCAACATTTGATACCACCCTGCCAACATGAAAACTGTAACTTTGTTGAAAGCCATTTCCAAACCGTACATCAAAATGCCAAAACCTGACACCTGGTATATTCTTAATGATTATTTTTATAAAGATAATGTCAATGTCTTGGAGACTAAAATCAAGATGCAACAATGAAGCTGGATGAAAATAACTAAAAACAATCAAGTCAAAGCATGAGACACGAACTCATAAAGCATAACTATGAGAAAATCTTTTGGGATTTTTCTGTCAAACATATTGTCAATGTCCTGGAGTTGGAGAAATGCATGCACTCTATTTTCCGAAACAAATTTAACGTGGACCTCCAAGCAGATTTTCCTAGAACTTCTATCTGTAGTCGATACCTCATTATCTCCCGCACTCAGTGCAACATGTTCCTTTTGTTCTTTTGAGATGCATATCAAAACCAAAACAGAAAACATCTTAAGATTTTCCTAGAACTTCTATCTGTAGTCAATACCTCATTATCTCCCGCACTCAGTGCAACATGTTCCTTTTGTTCTTTTGAGATGCATATCAAAACCAAAACAGAAAACATCTTAACTAGAAAAACTACACATTTACTGATTGAGAAATGGCATATGTACCGAAAACTTGTAGCATCTGTTATGCACAAACACCAAATTCAATGGAGGTGGGTTATTGGGTAATGCAACACGTAAGTTAAATTCCAACTGGCATGCCCACCAATAAAAAAATGTAGTAAAATTTCGTGGAACACCACACACTTTCCTCAGTTATTCCCTGCACACCCATAGATGCATATCTTTTCTTATTGCAATACTTGGAAACCTAACTAAATGAAAATTAAGATTCCTTATGCTTAAGGAATGCTGCTTACGAGGAAACTATTTTCAAGATACCAATAAACAAAATGTTCTTGCACATATAGCATCTATTAAATAGTACCCGCCCATTTAGATCAAGTTTTCAATCACCAAAAACTTATAATGAATCATGTTACCTGCCCCAAAAGAGCACTATCAAAGTTTCCAGACCACGGGCTTCCCCATATTAAAACTCCACCTCACTCAATTGTCCCCAAGACCGCAAGTCCACCAACCTTCACTCAATTAAAGTATGAGAAGAAATCCTCCACCAAAACGAGTTCCTAGTCATTCAAGTTCATAAAAGTTAAATCACAGAGTTTCAAGAGGCACACCTCCATCATAGACCAAATCATCTGTTACCTGCCGAATCAAACATGGGGCATTTCCACACCACATATCATGCACAAAATGTACATGCTTACAATCTGCTACAGTCCCACTAAGTGATATGCCAATCCTTGTGCTCCAACCACCGAACTCATCATCAGAATTCTATTCCCAATCAAATCTCCACAACATCTTCACATCCGCAGCACAAAGGAATTGAACTTCCAGTTTTCAAAGCTCCTGTTCTGCCTCAGAGGAAAAACATCAAACCCCTGGAAAAAGAGAAGCGATGCAGTGCAATAACTTCCCCATAACGTACATTATCCAAGCACAAGGCACTATACTTTCCATACCACATTGGTGAATAAAAATAATTGCTGTGTAGCATGCCATATCCAAGAACATACATCAAACTTTGTTGAAATTGGCACCAATTATATTTTATCAGCATTATCTTAGTTCATCCTTTTTTCAGGTCAAGATTCAAAAGCATTAATAAACTCAACCATCCAAATGTAACTGGAAAATAACTAAAACGTCGTCAGGTTGTGGGCTTAAGCCATCAAATCACAAAGCATATTCTCTAATGTCTTGAAGAAATCTGTGCATTCTATTTGAGGTGTGAAATTAAACAACATATCAATTAGATAAGCACAATTTATTTACCTGGCAATGTTATACGGACTAAAATTTAGTATATCTATTTTGCAAATTAGCATGGCAGCATGCTACAAAGACCAAATTCACGGTGGGTGGGGTAGTGTGTGTAGTGCCACACATAAATTAAAAGTTCAACGCATCCGTTATGCAGTATCGTATAACACCACACGTATTCCACATTTATTTCCTACGCACATTTTTAGATGCACATCTTTCTTTTTAGATGCACATCTTTCTTTAATAGCATAAAAAGTACAGATCTTTGCATTTACGGAACATTACTTGAAAACTAATAAGATCAACCACTCAAAACTGTTCCACATAGACGAACTAAAATCTGGTTCTAACAATAAGTGGTGACATTCAACCCCAATCACAGGCATCAGATATTAAACCAACCCGAATTTCGCTTTTGTTTCTCTTACATCAAAACTAAACCAAATCAGTGTTAACTAAATCTAATAAATGGGGAGCAAAGGCATGTAAATGGACCCAATTTGGTCAACCCCAACTGGGAAAAGCAACCTAGATCCTTACACAATTGGGGTTTATACAAATTTCAATAATAATGGCATCAATGTTTGCAATCAATCGCATAAAATTCTATAGAACAGTTATGATATGCAGATAAGAGTAAAGCATATAAAACTAAACAAATTAAACGAAAAACAAGAACAGATATATACATATATATATATATAAGAAATTGGGACACCATTAGCATAGATGTCCAAAGTATCAAAGGCCCAACACATGCAAGAGGAAGAACATTACCGTTTGTTGGGCAATTTCAACTAAAGGCAAGAATGCTGCAGAGGTGCCATTGTCTGTTGTTTGTGTGCAGACAAGGACGAGAAACAGAGGTTTACGGAAACCAAACGACGAGTCGAAGACAGAGTGGGAGATGGGTTTTATGCCTTTTAACACTTTTATTCTTTGGGTTGTCCTTGCACAGGTTTCAAAACCATAAGGTCCATTAACCAATTTAATTCAATAATTACAGATTGATTATTTTGTTGTTGTTGCACAATTAGTATTAGGAATTATAAACACGCACCATTTTACTCCTCGTATGTTTGGTTAGTCTTTGGTAGATTCGATTTTATAACCATTATGTCTATGTCACGTCTCTACATGCTTAGTTCGAGATAAATACGACGTAAGCAGGTATTTCAGATGTCTAATATCCTAATTGATCATCCTATGACTAGGAAATTTCTGTAAGACTTTAGATCTGTATGGCACGTGTCTCGAAATTGTAACTTCCTTAATTTTTCGTCCTTACATCTTAAGGTGTATAAGTTCTCCATGAAATGTAGTTGTGTAGTTTTAAGTTTTTGCCTCATCAAGTCCGCGGTTAAGGGAAGCCCGATACTTAAACTATTTGGAGAGTCCATAATTCATAGTTTTACTTAGAACATAGGTATGGTTTGATGTTTAGGTTTGGCTTGGACAAGTCATTAAAAATTTAAGAAAAACTAATGAAAATGGCGTGAAAACTTTAAGTTTTAACAATAATGACAAAATAAAAGGTAAAGTGAATAGTACTAGGATTAACTTTTTAATGTAAAAATATGGTTTTTCGTTAAAATGAATAGTACTATGAAATTTTCGTTAAAGTTTCCTTAAATTTAATGAACGTTGAATGGAAATATAGATGCTACCATGCCATATGAGAAATGCTAACAACCCTCTCACTTACCTTTTCATTTCAACTTTCTCACTTCTCTTCAGCCGACATGTACTCCATTATTACTCAAAAACTAAAATTTTAATTACATTAAAATCTCACTATATTTCTTTATTTAGTTTAATTAAAAAATAATTAAACTTTTAGTTTTGCCGCAAAAATTGAAATGAGGAGGTTAGTAAAAAGGTTGCTAGGACTGTCCCTTGCATATTTTTCCAAGTGAAGGTAGAAAAAAAGAGAAATCATGAAGAAAACTTATCCCTCTTAATAATCACAAATATGGTAGGATTGAGTGGAAATTCACGATGCGTCCATCTTCTACCTTCACTTCACAAAATATGTAAGTTTAACATTCATATTTGTATTCAACGTTCATTGGATCTAGTGGACTATCCAAATCAAGTCAATCCTAGACATCAAACGAGCTTTGAAGCTGAATTCTCATCATGACATTCATTTCGAAACTATCATGTGAATTCAACAGCTTGATACCAACAATTTGCATCACTCAAGCTCCCACTTCTCCAACACTTCCATTACATCACATTAACTAAATAAAACCAAAATTATTTGTGAATAAAGAATTAATTCATTTTATTCAATCCAATTGAATTAATTTAATTTATTTATTCAAAACAATTCAGAATAATTGAACTCCAAACTATATTTTCAAAGAAAACCCTTGACAATGTCTAAATTCAGGTTAAATCTGGTTCTTCATAAATTTCTGAAACATGAAATAAAAAAATAAAAAAAAGAGTTAGCTTCTTCTTACCACAATCTTACACTGGATGAAAACATTACGTAGTTGAACGTCTGAATGTAAAATGTAAAGTCATCGTCGGACAACATAGCATGTCAAATTTATGAAGACCAATCGTTCTTCTAGAAAGCCTACACCATAAGTTAGAACGACATGGAAGGCAAAACACAAACAAAACCCAATTCTCAAATTCTACATTTCTACTAAGTTTATTCCAAAATTTTACTAATTCAAGTAACCTTGGAAAAAATATAATTGTAGTGATAGTAGAAAATATCGAAGATAGATCCGTATTTCGTATAGTTTTCAAAGTTTTCATCCGTTCCTCTTCCGAAGTCCTCAAACATCCAATTTCGGGCTGTTGCAAACCTTAGGAACGTCTTGCTTTGGTCTTACAGTTGATTTTTAACCTCTGTAATCAAATTAACAATTGTTACATTAAACAGTGAAAAAATAGGAGAAAGGTGAGAAGCAGAAAGTAAAAAGAAGAAAAACTACAAAGCAATCAAGCGAGCAAACAATCAGATTATAATGGAAATGAACTCAAAAGGATTCCGCTGTACCATTTTATAAACGAGGTGAGAAACTAGTGAATCTCTACGTACTCATTGTGATGCTTGTTGGGCAAGAGGCCTCTGAGGCTTTGGAGCTGAGAGAAACCAAACAATACAATCAATTAAAGAAATGAAGAAAAAGCTCAAATACTTCAACCAAATGATGAATATTACAAGCAACAAATGTTAACAAAGGCTGTGATTATGACATCAAACTTATGCTACGTACTGGTATCCTCCAATGTGTAAAGGAGTTGACAAACCATAAAATGTATAAGTAAGGATTAGCCTTCAGAAAATATAAATTATACCATTAGGGTTTCCCTGTTCATAAAAACTGCGAAAAAGAGAGACTGCTTCTGTTGCCATTATCCCTCCAGTGCATTTGAAACCCTTCCCCTCTGGAGCTACACTACTATTCAACATACATAATGTGAGACTGAGAGACAATCATGTTGGCTACAAGACCGGAGACAGAAGTCGAGAACATTATAGTGCATTGATTATAATTTAGAAAATTTGCGCCACATGGCAATAATAGACTTAACATGTAAAAATATTTGAAATAATAGACATACATGTAACATATTTGCAATAATAGACATAACATGTAAACATATTTGAAATAATAGAATATAGTCTCGAGAAAGATACAGCTTCCCTTGCGTTTTTTCATCATCGCTAAAGAGAAAGATAAAGAAAATTATGCACACCCTCTTCAGCATTAGCTACAACTTGTTGAAAAACACGCCTACTAGACCTTGTTCTTTAATGTAACCAACGGCAATAGACTAAACTAGCAAATATAGAAAAACTTAGAAACACACAAGAATTATACTAGTTCAGCAGAACTTTGACCTACGTTCAGTTGTGATTTCTCTAGGTAGAGAAATCATCGTTCCTTTGATTAATAATAGAGATTACAAAACTTTTGTAAACCCTAGAACTAATCTCAAAACTCTCGTCTGTCTCTGGCTGTTTTCTCTGTAAAAATTAAGCCTTGCCGCACCCTATTTATAGGCATGGGTAGGCTTACATGTCCCAAGGCTGATTGAATTCCTATTTCTAAGTGGATTAAGAAATTACACTTATCCAAATCCAAATATAATTCTAGAAATCCAAACCTAAATTGAATAAGGAAAACTGAAATTCTTTCCTAATCCCTCTAAGACAAGAATCGGTATACCTCTAATTTTCCTAAAACATACCCAAACCGACTAGGACATATTTGACGAGCCAAAAATCCTAACACAACTAAGGAATCACCAAAAAAAAAAAAAACACACTTCCAGTTCACCTCTTACAGCCAAGTCCATGATAGGCAACATCCTCTTTCTATATGGTAGGATTGTTTGTGCTGTCTAACAAGGTGAACGTATTGATTAACTCATCAAGAATTCACTAATTAGGTGCAGACATCCTACCACTAAATCTAGAGGAAACAATCAATTATAAGAAAAATTTTAAGGCCTAAGCTCGAACTCTTCTCATCGACACATTCCTCCAATAAAACTCAGCATAATCTTGAAAACGAAAAGATATCATTGATGCGAAAATTAACTTAACACAAAAATTAAACCCTTTTGTTGTCAATTGTAGTAAAGAATGTAAGTAGAGATCGTTCTAGGCCGGGGATTAAGAGGGATTGCTAAAACACCTGAAACTGACTTAAAAATGTAGAATTAAGTTTAAAACACCAAACTAGACTCAAAAGATGCAATACAAACTAAAAAGACTCAAAACTAGTTTAAAAGACTCAAAACAGCTTAAAACAATGAATTAGACTCTAAACTGACTCTAGGGATGGGTTTGGACGAAATTAGGTTCTAACTTGACTCAAGACACTTAAAAACACAAATCAAAACAGATTTTGACTAATAAAACACTTTAAAGTAAAGGGGGATTGGATTTTGACGAATTTGAAAACAAAATAAACAGATTGTAAGCTAAAACAGATTTTGGATGAATTTGGGTAAACTATGGATGATGGGCTAGCTAAAGGGTTCTTCTCCACACATGACACACTTGCACATAAACCAATTTTCAGTTGTTCTTTCGATGAATCATGAAACTCAACACCCCAGGTTAATTATGTCCGCTTAAATTAACCTTCAAGTTCTGCTTAAGTTATTGAATTGGATGGAAAAGCGCATACAACAATTCAAGCATTCTTCAAAAGTCCTTTACGTGAACAGCACAATAAAGAAACAATCAAAGATCATTAAGCATTATGAAAACTATAAGTATTGACGAGACATTCGTTACTATGATGAGCATGAAACTCCTGCCAAGAATTCATTTAACGCGATCGTTTATATGCGACTTCCACTACTTGTGAATATAAGTTTGTAACTATTAGGTGAAACTCCCTTATATTCTAGCATCATATTCATGCATGCAACTAAGTGTGCACTCTTAATAAACATACACGAATAAGTTAACAATCAAGCAGCTAAACAAATTGAATTCACAACTTATGAAATCACAACTGAAGGTAATCAATCCATATTGCAAGTATGTTCATGGCTTTGAATTTCCCCTAGCTAAGGGGGGTTTAGTTACTCATAATTGCAACAAAATCAGAAAATAACAAAGTAGATATTGAAAGCAAGAACGAAGTACACCTAAAACGCTCCAAAGTTTCAAGCTTGCAACGCCAAAGACCTTCGTTTTCACCACCTTGTTGCAGCACAAGTATCTAAGGATGTGTATGGATTTATGGAAAGGTTATGAATGTATTTAGGTTGGATGGATGCCACGGCAAGGTTGAAGGGAATGTATGGATTTGTGTTTGATTTTTGGTTGGATGAGTGCCACGGCAAGGGAATGGATTTGTATGTGTTTGTGGGATGTGGGAATATATGGATGAATGTAAGGTGCTCAGGGCTAGGGAATTGGAATTCTAGTTATGGTGAAGGGTGGATGTATTTATAGGCTAGGGAGAGGATGTAGTGGGTGGTGGTAATGATTGGATGTAGTGGTAGGTGAATGTGTTGGGTGGTTGAAATGCGTGGTTGTAGTGGTAGGTGAATGTGTTTGGTGGTTGTAATGAGTGGATGTGTTGGGTGAAATGAGTGGATGTAGTGGTAGGTGAATGGATGTATTGGGTAAAATAAGTGGATGTAGTGGTAGGTGAATGTGTTGGGTGAAATGAGTGTGCTAAAATGGTTATTTATATGGAGAGGATGATGCACAAACTTCAAATTTCATCCATTCCTTTTGCTCCAAGCATATGCTATCCATTCCATGCCCAAAAAAATGCTCCAAAATGCACTTCTTTGCCACATTAACCCTTTGGACCTTCAAACACACGAAAATAGCTTAAAATACTAAAATAACTACGAACTAACAACATAAATGCCAAGAAACAAGCTAACTAAGTCGCATAAATATGCTCCTATCAATCATCAGACATTCTCAACACACCATTGTTAGTGAAGAGATTTCATGTTTTGTCATATTAAATTGAAGATGGAAATTATGTGCATATATGCATAAAATGCATTTCATATATGAATCTTGTGGTGTGTGTATCTGTCCATTCACAATAGGTATAGATACTTATGTAGTTCCCTACAATTTTTGGACCAAGAACTGTTTCTCGGAAAGGTACATCAAAACAAGGTAACAGTTTATAAAAGATTTCCAAGAGAAAAGAATGATTAGGGAAAACACTATAGAAACTGAGTCAAATCTTGCTTGTGATGTGGGTTAAAAAATAAACCTTGTTTGTGGATCGGAGCTACTTGAGTGCAACGACAATACTGATCCACATCCACCAAATTTGTCATTGGCACAACCATTAAATACTTCCTTTATTACTAAACATAGGAGGAAAAGTCACCTATACATTGATCCAAGTGACGAAGGGAAAGAGAAAAAAGTGTCAACATTTATATGCATATTATAAGAAAATGAGCATACCAATAAATAATAAAGCCGCTGCACACATTATGCATGGCTCACATGTAACATAGAGTTTACATTTTGAAAACTTTTCAGCAACTTCTGACTTTGAAAGCCTATGTTCTCTCCACTACTCAAGAAGAGTGTCAATGGCTTCCATCTCTGCGTGCCTTGTAGCCTGCAAATTTATGACGAGCATAGTAAATAAGAAACTCATTCCAATTTCATAAGGCTTACATATGAAACACAATTCTCATGAACATTAAACAAAGCAAACAAGTGCCAAACACAGATCTTATAAATTATAATAATAATATACATGTAAGAAAGATCTCCAAAGAATGTTTTATATAGTCAATATATTTTGAAACATTTGATCCAAGAAGTTAACCATAGAGCTGTACTTTTGGGTCAAAGTAGAAGGCAGGAAAAATATAAGAATAGTAAACTAGCAAGATCGAACTGAAGATCCAACCTGCCACATTGAAACGAGGAACACATTGAAGATGCAAGAATAAGTACACAAACAAAGAACAATCATCAAGATATTTGAGTAAATGTATTAACTGGGTTCCATCATTTCCTTGTGGTTCCAAGGAAAACAGTCTTTAAGGTATGTTTGGGTGAGGAACTTTCAAATTTTAGGGAATCCAGTGATGAAGAGATGGATCACAAAAAGCTAAATGAGAGGGATTACAAATGCACCACATGAGCATTACAAAAGGCATGTAAGAGGGATTTGCAAATGATTACCTGAAAGAAATCATTTTGAAATTCCTCACATTGCAATGCATATATGGTGCATTTTCTACTTCTTCCTATCTAACTCTTTTGTGATCCATTTCTTCTTTATCTTGCTTAAATGCCTTGGAATTTTGAGGTCCCTCACCCAAACATACCCTATGAGATAAGCAATTGAAATGTGAAAAATATTTTTATGAGAAAACTAGAGGTGTTGGGATTTTCACTATATGAAAAGAATGCTCATAAACAAATATCCAGATAAACAGAAACAATTGCTTCTTCAGCTTCAGATCCAATCAAAAACTTACATTTCGTGTCTCATTAGTTCAATTTCTTCCCGAGGTTATGACCTTCCCATCTTCAACAAGCACACAGTTGTTCAATCAAATTTATAGATTAGAAAAATGCATTAATACAAAGTAAGCCTTGATGTTTAATAAAAGAAGCAACTGAGCGCATGTTGTATCCAACTTCAAGAAGGTGATGAGAAGAATAAAAGATAAGATGGGTGTATGATACTTTACATTTTTTAATTCGGCATGGGAAACTTAATAAAGTGAAAAGTTGTGTTACCCCTACGTTCTTGCCCCAAATGAGCTTGAGGCCTGCTTTCAAAATTTAGAAAGAGAATAATTTTTAAGTTAGGCATATATAACAAGCTAAAGGAAAATAGGAGACCAGATTTTGTAAACCACAGCTAAATCATCTCTAATAGAGGTGGACCTACTTGTATGATAGATGGTTTAGATGTGATCTCCCTATCATCACCCCAAGGTAAACTAACTGATTTCCAGCAATTACGTGTGTTAGGTTTTGGTTCCTTTTTTTGTTAGTCCTATTTTGTTTAGGATTGAATTAGGAAAGCTAAGGTGCACAGATTCTTGTCCTACAAGGATTAGGGGAAAACTAGTTTTCTAGTACAATTAGATTAGGAATCCTCAAAGCAGTAACATAATAGTAATGCAAGTGTGCTTTCCTATCCCAGATAGATTAGGAGACCTAATCATATTATAAGAGTGTAAACCACACCCTGTACTTATAGATAGAGTGCGGCAAGGGTTGAAAAGCTAGCAAAAAACAAAGAGACAACCAAGAGAAGAAAAACATTAGTTCTAGGGTTTGCAAAAATATTGTATACTCTATTATTAATCAATGAAGTCGTGGTTTCTTTACCTAGAGAAATCACAGCAAGACGTAGGCAAAAGTTCAGTAGAACTAGTATAAATCTTGTGTGTTTCTAGTTATTCTCTATTTGCTAAGTTTAGTCTATTGTCGGAAACATCACAAGATCCAGAGGAGAGTATAAATAACAACAATTGATATCAAAAGCTTGGTTCAAAGTGTTCCTACGATGGCCAGTGGAAAGGAGACCACAAACCTAAGAAGCTTAAGGCTTACGTTATAACCTTTTAATGGCAAGGATGACTTCACTAATTGGCAAAGAATGATGATGAGCGTATTGATACAACAAAAGTTGGATGATGCACTCCTTGGTACGACCATGACAGAAGCAACATGGACGAAGATTCTTAAGAAGGCCAAGAGTTCCATCGAGATTCATCTCACAAAATGAGTCAGGTCCAACATCACCGAAACGATGACTATTAAGGAAGCATGTGACAAGTTGGAGAAAGTTTATATGGGCAAAAACCGTGTCTAATAAACTGTTTCTCAAGGATGAACTATTAGGGCTTCAACTGGAAGAATGAGTTGATGTTGAAGATCATGTATGCAAGATCCAAAATTGCATAGACAATCTTTAAAAGGTCGAAGAAACTTACAAAGATGATGATATGACTATCATCTTGCAAATGTATCTACCTCGTCTTACTAGCACTTTCAAACAACTTTATTGTTTGGAAAGAAGTCCTTACAACTTGAGGACGTAATTTAAGCCCTTCAGTGATATGCAAAAGTGAATGACATAATTGAAAGCTCTCAAGGCCCTAATGCCAAAGGAAATGAAAAGGGACAGGAAAAGACGAAGGAAGAGAAGAATAGCAACAAAGGTTGGTCGAAATCCAAGAAGAAAAAGAAAAAAAGGAAGGTTGTTTCGAATGTGGTTCTACCGATCAATGGAATAGGAACAACAAGATTTGGAAGGAGAAGAAAGCCAAGATGGAATGAAGCTCAAGTTCAGCTAGTGCAGTCACTAAAGAAGAAAGTGACGGGGAGCTTCGTTGTATAACATTAGGCTCCAAGGCTTTAACAAGTTAGATTTTGGATACCAGATGCACATTCCATATGTGTGCAATAAAAGAATGGTTTGATACCTACAAGATGGTCAACAACGGAAATGTTTTAATGGGGGTTGATTTGCCATGTCCTATAAGGGGATCAACACTATCACAATTAGGATGTTTTATGGAGTGATACAGGCTTTGGGGAACTCAAATGTGTCCCTCGACTGAAGAGGAATTTGATATCCATGGATACTTCAAACAAGACCGACTATGGGTATAGTACTAATGCATGAAGACTCAAGGTGACCGAGGAGATTTGGGTTGAAAAGGTTCGCATGACAACAATGACGCAAATTTCCTTACAAAGAAAGTGTCGGCAAAAACAATCAAGCATTTCTTGACATCTTGTTGATTGATTAAGGTGGAGCCTCCTCATTTGAGGTGCAATGAGGTAAGAAGTTTGCCAAGGTCTTCTTGAAGATTTCCAAAGCTGCGAAAAAAAGGTTTGAAGATACTTTGCAGTGCAATAGTCAAGACTTGTTTGACTCACCAAGGTGGAGGTTGTAAAGTTTTGGTTCTTTTTTTTTTTTTTTTTTTTTTGTTAAGAGTACTATTTTGTTTAGGACTATATTATGAATGCTAAGGCAAAGTGCACCCTAAAAGAGTTTTTGTCCTACAAGGATTAGGAGAGAATTAAGTTGTCGTGTGCAATTAGATTAGGAATCCTAAAAGCAGAAATGGAATAAGAATGCAAGTGTGCTTTCCCATCCCAAATAGATTAGGAGACCCAATCAGATTACAGGAGTGTAAACTGCACCCTACACTTATACATGGGATACGGCAAGGGCTAAAAAGCTAGGAGAAAACAAAGAGACAGCCAAAAAAAGAGAAGGCTTAGTTCTAGGGTTTCCAAAAGTATTGTAGACTCTATTTGCTAAGTTCAGTCTATTGTCGGATACCTCAAAGAACAAGATCCAAAAGAGAGTCGAGACAACAACAATGGATCAAAGGGGAAAAACAGGTGAGTACAAAGCTCAAGGGTATAAAGACTCTTAAAAGCATGACAAATAGAGTTCATGCAATTATCGGAAATCTTACCCAATAGGAACTTCGAGGCTGTCCAAAGCCTCATTTGCATGCAAATATGAAAGCATGACCAAATATAGAAGTTAAATACCAAAAAGCATAGAAAAAATTAATCTCCCAAAAAATAACCATAAAAGGAATAAAGTAACAGCATGCATATCAACTGAATTCAAATGATACAAAGTGTTTCCATTAGCAGCTACACATATTTCTGTTAAAAGATTGGAACCGGAACAACACTAATAGGCACTGGTAAACAAAAACACCAGGTTAACCCTACTATATTATATTTAGTCCGCCAATTACTATCCAAAACTTAAAATTACAGCCTCGATAGTACCTGTTCTATAGCAAGACGCATAAATTCAAGGGTATGGTCAAGGTACTCTTCTCCAAGAGATGTCATCTGTTGTAAAATGAGGAAGAGGAGACAAATCTTAAAAGCAATTAAAAGATAAATGAAATACTGTAATTACAATATCAACTTAGTTTTGGGGAAAGGAATACTCCAAAATGCATATACATGAGTTTGAGAGGTGGGGGTTCTACTACGATCTAGCTGAGAAAATTTCAGAAGCAAAAGTACTTCCAACTAAAGGTAAAGATTTTGGTTCCCTTTTGTATGGAATGGATTGAGCTTTTTTTTTTTTTTTTTTTTTGAACAATTAATATTATCTACACTAAGGGGAGGGGGTGAGCTTAGCCTTACAATGGACTAACAATAATGTGGTTCAAATTCGCCTTTTGAGAGAATCAAACCTAAGACCTGTTGTTTGGGCATGAAATCTCGCTGGGATGGGTCCCTAGCTCGAGCACACAGCTCCCCGAGGAGTTGGCACTTTGCTTGATTGTCGGGCTTCGGCTTTAGCTCTGAAAGGTGCATTTATGGGGCTTTAGGTGTAGGCCTTGAGGCTCGCAATCAAAACTAACTAAGTGCTAAGGTGTGCCATTGCCATCTCTATATGGCAGATGTAGAACAAGTGTATTTAAGCCGATTACTTGCACCCCAAGTTATTCTGACTTCTTGTTATCAAAGGATTATCGTAGATGGGTTAAGTCTACATTAAGTTCTTTTATGTGCATTGAGATCAAGGACTTTTAGTTCTTTATCTTGTATGCTTAAAGGATGGAGATCAAGATCTAATCAAGTCATCAGTTTTAATCAGTTTTAATCATTTTTAATCTTCTTATGATAATAAAACCACTAAGTGAACCAGATATGAGAACTGATGAAACTTTGGATCATCAAAAGACTAAAAATGACTTGAATATGTACTGGGGAATACATTATAACAATAGATCTATTAATTGAAAGACAAAACAAAGAGGGGTAGGGAAGATTTCACCTTGTCGGGCAAGGTTAAACGTCTTGCAATCTCTATGTTGTAGTTCTAAAGGGTTAGGTATTGAAAGAAGGATGAAAGGTAAATGGGTTTACACAAGAGAATCGATACTACAACATTTGAAGAAAGTAGCAGAGCTTTTACATAGACAAAAGATGTCTTTCTAAAGGAAGTCTAAAGCTAAAAGGGTGCAAAATCTGGACAAAGCACAACTTTCTGGATATTTGCTTGACCGAGAGGCAAGTTATGTTTGTTTGTTTGATTGGTTGAGTGTCCTTGTCTCTAGGCTCTCTTCCTCTATTTATAGGCAAATTAGCCCGAATGTGTTGTTTCTGCTCTTACCCGAAAGCAACTGGAGGGTAGTAAGTCATCATCATTTTTACATGTTCTGCCATTCGGAAAAGTGCTTTTGGGTCGAGAGTTGGTTGATTTCCATCGATTGTCACTTCCCTTGTAAGCACATAACCTTTGCATTTAATGGGGAGCCGTCATATTGTCTCAAGATGGGTATTTGGGCTTGACTCTAAGCCTTGGGCAAAATCTCCTCTATTGAGCTCTTTTGGTCTTCCTTCCTTTAAGTCCAAAGTTAAATATTAACCCAAACACCTGTCACTTACAAATACGAGGAATACCACTAGACCGTAGTACTAAGTAACGGATGAGTGAGCTTTTGGTTGATCCTCGTTCACTTGTTTGCATTTTATCTGTTTTATTTTTAATTCAATCGTTTCTTCGAAACCCTAGGCGCATTGATTGTATGCAAAACTACCCTCGAAAATTCAAACACAAATATGTAATGTCCGTCAATTTTATTCCCAATGACGGCGTTGAGTGCATGCTCAACAACCCAGGAACCCAGCAAAACCCCCAATTTGAATACCAAATTATGTCAATCAAAATTTAAACAATCTAACAATCAATAAAAAATCAAGGGGAAATCGTAATTTACCAATCGAATAATAAATTAAAATTAAATATAAAACAAAATTGAGAGAGCAATTAAGGGAAGAAGAGTACCAGGTGGATATGGAGGTACTGTGAATGGAGTGGAGTTGGTGAGTGTGTTGCTTGCTGTTGCAGGGGAAAAAGAAGAGAGAATAATAATTTGGAGGACACAAAGCGGCGTCGTCTCGCTCATCTATTAAAACGGATATTTGTCTCTCCGAATCTATATGGACCATTTAATCCATGTCGTCCCCTCAGATCATGCGGTCAAAATTTTATATTTATTATTTTCTTGATGTGTTTCACAGGAAACAACGTCATAATGCGAGATAGATTAATTTTTTTTATGGTGATTGGTGAGTCGAGCTTTACTCCTCTACACATGAAAGGACAAAAAATAACAGTTAAGATTTAATTAAATGTCCTTGTGCTTATGAAAAAAATATGTGTAGGGAGAATTTTCGTTAGCGAGTCAGGTCTGCTGCTGACTTGAAATTGTTTTGATCGGACCATTAAAATTGGGATTGTAGAATTTTGTAGTAAAAATGGGGGAATTGAAAATTAGGAAAGACACAATTTGAAATTTTTTTCAAAACGCGATAGGAGGGTAAAGAAACATAGGGAACATGTTACTTAGTACTATGGTCCAGTGGTATTTTTTTTCACTTGTAAGTGAAAAGTCTTAGGTTCGATTCTGGCCAAAAACGAATTTGAACCACACTATTATGGCTAGCTCAGTGTGAGACTTAGCCCACTTCTCCACCCCTTAGTATAAATAATATCGTTTGTTCAAAAAAAAAAACATAGGGAAAATGAATTTTTATGATAAACCAAACAGCGTAGAGACTGCACCTAGTTGTCTTGAACTATAATCAACCTCATATTGGGCCTTGAACGCCTGGAGTAGAGAAAGACAATTCAAACTTTTAAGATTGTTTTCTACATTTAAAAAGAGATACCACTAACGTACGAGTTGGTTAGTAAACATATTAGGATTCACTACAAGAGGTATGTAAAACAGTTGAAATGTGAAGGTTCGAGATCTAGTTTTCCCAAACAAGGATTATACGCACATGAAAACCGAGACCATTATCTACAAGAGAGCAACCCAAGTAAACTGCAACAAAAATAGCTCCATCACGTGCTACTTAACCTCACAACCAAAATTCCGTAATTAAACAAACAAGCAGTAGCTGCATAATTTGAGACATATTAAGTCACTTGATGAGCGATGAATTGTACTACTTATTTTATCCCTAAGAACTATATTTTATAATGATATATTTGCTTTTAATTAAGGTCATTACATGTTAATGTATTTTTATGGCTAGATTAACACGATGGAGAAATATATCTTGCTCTAATTAGTAAACCATTGTGCATTTTGAATATTAAAAGCTAAGATCACGTGCCAATTGTGAGTGGAATGCAGGATGGCAATTGAAACCAAAATAGAGCACGTGATTACGACAAACAAGGTTGGCCTTCCTTTCACTTCATAAATCGATCACGTAGTAACTTGAGGAGAAACTCCTCCTCATTTCATTGAGGAGCCAAGTTAATAAAACTTTAAACAACATGACAACATTAGAAGAGAAATACCACGAACGTGAGATCTAGTTAGTAACTATACGGATTGATTATGAGTCATTTGTAAAAATAGTTGGAATGCAAATCTATGCATATAAAAACCGAAACTATATCATAGAAGATAACAACCCAAAATAAATTTCAACTAAAATAACTTGATTTATGTGCTACTTGTGCCTCCTACAACAAAATCTCTTTACCCATAAAAAAGTAACCAGTCTAGTCTTCATCTCTTTGGCTTCTTTGCTAGTGTGAGAAACATAAAAGTCAAAATAATTAACAAAACAGGAGAACTAATTACTTAATTAATTAATACAACAAAGGGAAAAGGGTAGAAAGAGAGAAAGAGGGGGCCAGAAAGTGTGTCCTATGGCCATGATCCAAAGAGAAAATCATCATATTTCCTTTTGTCTTTGAACATTTGCGCTAGAATGTGGCCTTCTAACAAATCTTCCCTGAAACAAATAAAGAAACCAACATCAGTCCCTGAAACAAAAATATAGTTTCTATGATGGGGAACAAGTATAACTAAAATGAGGTTTGGTGTTGCAGACGTGAGCGTAGTCATATTAGTTAGAACGGAACGTGCACTCTTACAAGTTAAAGTCTTTCTCCCCAAAGTTTGAATTAGATTAAAATAGAATATCTCACTTGTATCAAAATAAGTTTTTGTTATTCTATCAAGCCAATCTAATTTGTTTCTCAATTGAACCCCGATTTGTTAACAAGATGGTGTTTACGTTGATCTTTAGTTACTGTAGTGCCATGATCAGTCCGTACGTCATTCTTTAGGAGATTTTTGAGTTGAGCAACCCTAACTTATGATGAATCTTCGGTAATAGTTCATGAGCCCTAAAAAAGATCTTCGCTTACTCACTTGTCAAGTAAGTTTTTTCTAGCAAGAAGGAGAGAATGGAGATAGAGTTTGGGAGGGGAAAAGGAGAAGAAAACATAAATACAAATCATGAGAAACATGTTGTAAAGTAAGAATCATGACATCTTTATTTTTCTTTTTCGTTTATCTTGGACTCAAATTCATCAATTCGGTGCTAAATCTACTATATTAGTGTGCTTCACCATTTGCACCCACATTCAAATCTCTTTCCACATCGTCTAGATAAATTAGTATATATTATTATTACTTGCAGATAAAAAAACAAGAATGTTTTAGAAGAAAAGATGTACCTTCATTCTAGGCCGTCGATCGGCATTGACTTTTCTAACTTGGTATCTAATCTTCTTAGAGAAGAGGCGGGTACGACGTTTCTCCTTGTAGCGCAACACGCTAGCCTCTCTCAGTCCTCCGGCGTCTGAAAATAAATCAATCTGCGCCAACCTGGCCTGCCCAAAACAAACCCAATGATCAACAAAATAATAAGTTATAGACAAAAAAAACAAGGACAATTCTATCATTCTATCGTACATTCTTGACTTCCCAATAGATTATGGAGCCATAAAATGGCCAATACCGCCTTCAATAAAATAATAAATATTAATCATTGTGTCCAAAAAGAAAAACCACAAAAAATACTATGATTTCGACCAAAAAATGATACAAAAGATTATAAAAGTAATGATACAAAATAATAAGTTTTGGACAAATAAATACTTTGGCACTTACGGCAAAGCGATCGGATTGGCAAAAATACAAGTGACTTCTCTGTCATTTGAGCTTAAAAATTGTTACGTTAGGATTCATAATTTTTTTTAGCGAATGCAATTATATGACTCATTACAATTACGGTATCACGTAAGACAATATTAGTCAGAAGAATAACTTAAACAACTGTTCATCCAAATTTTTGTAAGTGAAGTTTTAAGTATGATGAAGTTGAGAAATTATTTTTTTAATAACGATATTATATACATTAAAGAAGAAAGAATGAATAAAGTAAAACGGAAACAAAAAATAAATTAACGCCCAAAATAAATTGCACACCGACTTTATTAGACTGACAAAAAACGGGGGAACTGATTTTTTTTTTTTTTGTTTATATTTTTTTTTTCAAGTTCCAGACTTTGAACACGTTTAAGTTTTCCGGGAATTCGATTCCCTGGCAGGAGATGAGAAACGTACAGAGACATCATTCCCCGCCGCATCGGATCCCGGCATTTCCTCCGAAAACGGCGACGCTTTGTTCGACCAAGCATTCAAAACGTCGTCGTAGTCCAGTTTTAGCATCAGCCCGGGCTCCTCCTCCACCGGGGGCTTCGGAATCGGATTCGCCTCCTTCGGCAATTCCGCTGCGGTTCTCGTTTCCAACACCAATAGCTTCTCCACCTTCTTCTTCTTCTTCTTCTTGGCTGTGGCCGCGGCTGGAGCTGGGGCGGAACACGACTGAGATTTGTTAAATCTGGGCGAGATTTCGAGAACATCGACGGTGGGAAAACTCCACCAGTTCCCATCATCGACGTGCCTCAACGGCCTCACTCCTCTTCTCGACCCGAACCCGAATTCGAATTTCCCGCCAAATCCGAGCCCCATTGGGTACCCATAACAGGAATTCCAGTTCGAATTCGGGTTCGGATTCGAATTATTCATTTGCTCACCTCCATTGTTAGACTCATCCTCCAAGTCCATGTTCACACTCATACTTCCCATGATGCTATCAATCCCCTCTTCAGTTTCCTCGTCGAGAATCGACTCCGCATCGAAGTCTTCCTCTTGAAAATTGTACCCGTCACATAACTCCATGGAATCGGAATTGCAATTCGGCTGGGAATCGAATTCCCCGGGACTCCGGCACGGCTTCTCGAACGAATTCAGGGACTTGGGCTCGAATTGGGAACTGGGTTTTTCCCGGATTGGGAGGTGGAGCAAGAACCCGGCATTTTCGGGTTCGATGACTCTGAAGGGCAGGAGCAATTCTGAGGATTGGTCGAAGAAAGAGTCGTGGGGTTTAGTGAATTTTCTGGGATTTGTGAAGTTCTTGGAAGAGAAGATGTTGGGGTACGCTGTGGAGAGCAATGCGGCGGCTTCGTTGTATGTTTGGTTTGGCCGTTTTCGAGGGGTACGAGGTTTTCTCGTCGAGATTGCGAGGCCGGAGTTGCTGGATTCCGAGAGAGTTGAGGACGGAGAAGAAGTGGAGGTGAAGGTTGATGTGGACGGCGATTTGACTATGTCAAGCTCGAAGGCATAGGTTCTTCCGCCGCCTCTTAGACACGAAGACATCTTTTGATGATTCCGAGGAACCAAAGGCAAAGACAGAGAACTTAGAAACACAAACAAAACTCAGGCTGTTGAATTGAAGAGCATACACAACAGGTGAGATGAAGTCATGGAATTGTTGAAATTCAAGTTGCTAAAATCTTTGCTTTAGAAGGACAGAAAGGAACTTGAAAAGGTACAAAACCCTAAACCCTAAAAGTAGACGAAACAAAAGGTATTGGGTATTTGAAGTGAAAAGTGGGAAAAGGCCAAGCAGTTTTTGTGTGATTAAAAAAGAAAGAACACCTGAGAAATGGGTTTTTTTGAACCTATTGGGTTTCTTTGAACCCACCGATGTGATGTGGGACTTTAACACAAAATCGGAGCAAAGAAATCAAAATTTGATGGGAAAAATGTTGAAGGTTGTTTCAGAAAAACCCAAGAAACGAAACCCCAAAAAGTCCATAGTATGTTTCTATTCTCTCTTGAAAAAAAAGTGTCCCAAAACCCTAGAGAGAGAAGAAAACCCAAGTGACTGAAACTATCAAGGGAATTAGTAACTGGGTCTTGGCAGATGGAGAAAAGGAATGGAAATTTCCCAGAGAGGAAAGTTACCCAATAAAGAAAATCGAATACTGTATATGCTGTGGAAATTGAGCACCAAAAACAGAAGGATTGAGGGGAGAGAGAGAGAGAGAGAGAGACAGAGGAGGTGGAGTTTTTGGAGAGTAGGTCACGAGGCGGACCAAATAAAAGGAAGTAAAGAACCGTTGGGAGGAACGTAAATATAGCACAAGCATATGAAGAGACAGATTCTATGTCGCTCTCCCCTCTTCTCTCCCTCTCTAAAGAGGCCAGACGGGCACTGAGAGACCGGGAAGTGCCCATGTATGAGTGATGGAGATGATACAGAGGAAGAGACAATGCTCAGCTTCAGCAGTTCTGGCTGTGGGACCCTTTTTCTTTTTTCTGCCTTCTTTTTCTCTAATTTTCTCGCTACCTTTTTACCGTTTCAATCATTTTACCTTGAGTGCATTTTGCTCGCAACCATAATTATAGTTATGTTTATTATATGCCTAATTATTTGTTACATGTTATTTATTTAACTCTAGTTAAATTTTATATTAAATGTTACTTTTTAAATTATGAAAAAACGTTAACCAATGTTAAGTAAAACGACAACTGAAAAATGATTAGGTATATGGTAAGCATACACTAAAGTTTAGGGTGGTGAGAAAAAATACTCCATTTTATCTTGCTAATTTCACATCAATTAAATTCATACTTCTTTTATTTTCTAAAAGATAAAATACAATTTGTTTTGATTTTATCATAACTTTTTTATTTTGATAATTAAATAAATTCATTGATGAAACTTAATTTCTTCCGACCTTAACTTTGTTCAAGTGGTTTGGGTAAAACAAAATACTTTGTTCAAATGGTTACAGATGAAATACTTTGGGGATCTCTCGAGTCTTGGATTTATAGCTAAGGATGTATCTTCCTCATAGTTGTAATGGAGTAGCTCGCTGTTTAGCTAAAATTCAATTTACATGGTGATGACTCAAAAGCATGGTTCGAGGAACCCTCAGATTTCATTAGGGCTGTATTCATCCATAATTTGGCCCCTTGAAGGTTAATTTCAATAAAGATATTGTTTCACCTGAAAGAAAAAAAATTATGTAACATTTATTATTTTAGTTACTTTTTGGGAAAAAAAAATTGCTTAATTTTAATAATGCATAATTACATTTTGTGTATATGATATTTTTTTTCTTTTGTTTCTATGGCTTGGTAGGAATTCCTTTAATTCAAATGAGAAACAGAAGAATTGAATTTATTTGGAGTCTTCCCGCTCAACTTGTGTTTATATGAGATGGATCACATGCAACCACAGCTTTATTTTTTGATTAAATAATAATAGAGCAACAACAACCCAATCATTGAACAACTTAAAAAGATTTTCTGAAGCTGATTAAAACAAAACAAAAAAAAAGCACCCACAAACACCAAATCTAATATTCATAAAAGAAAACATCAAATCTATGATGTGTTCGATAATAAATTTGTTTTCGTTTTTCAGTCTTCAATTATATAAAAAGAAGAATAAGGAAAACTAATGAAAATAGTTTGAAAACTTTTAGTTTTAATGACAAAGACAAAATAAATGGTAAAGTGAATAGTACCATGATTGACTTTTTAATGTAAAAATGTGATTTTTCGTTAAAATGAACAGTACATGGAGCTTTTCGTTAAACTTCCCTAAATTATAGCAATGATCCATCAACTTTAACCAAATTAGAGCAATTCTCCTTTAACTAAAAATGTATTACCATTGGTCCCTCACTTCATCAAAACATGTAGCCATGGTCCCTTTCGTCAACTCTGTCAGAATTCTGTTAAAATGAGTTATGTTGGAATGACCATTGCTCCAACTGGGTTAAATTTGGGAGACCATTAATTTCTCCAGTTGGATTAAAGTTGAGGGACAATTGATGTAATTTTTCTTATTTGATTTTTCATATTGGCCTCTTAATTCAACCTCATGTGCATGGCACGTGACTCATTTTGACGAAATTTCTAACGGAATTGACAAAAATGATCATAGCTGCATGTTTTTATAAGTTGAAAGACCAATGACAATTGATTTTTAGTTAAGAGACAATTGCTCAAATTTGGTTAAAGTTGAGGGACCATTGTTGCAATTTACTCTAAAAAGAAAGTAGATGGAATGATAGGTGAATCAAGAAAATGAAGAGAGAAGGATAAATGTACATGAAATGAACATACAAAAGTGAAAACAAAAAACTAGAAATTGTTTTCATTTTTTCTGTTTTTGATTTTCATGTAGTATACGATCCCAATTGCATTTGTTCTATATCCTCCCATCATCCTTCCTCTATCCCTATTCATCCTCATTTCTTCCTTGTATTTCCTCTTTATTCTAAACTAAAAACTAACGAAATAGTTATTAAAATGGTCTGTAATGTCTCGTTGTGTTATGATTGTAACCTATAGAGAATAACACTAGCTAAAGGCATGGAACAAAATTGTTCTGATGAAGTATGTGTAAGTATAACTCAAGGGGGAATGATATGATAGACACACTTTTTTTTTTTTTTTGCTTTCTTTATACACACTTTTATTTAATTATGTTTGTTGTTTTCATTTAATTTAATAAAAAAATAAATAAATTGAAAAGCATATGAGAGGTTGAAAATATAAATCAACTCCTGACTCAACTAGCGTAAAATGAGCGAGATCATGGTCAAGATTTTAAGCTCACATTATTTATGCAAACAAATAATAAAAGTTGCATTGATGGATACCATTTAGTACTATATTCTAGTGATATTCTTCTTCACTTGTAAGTGAGAAATTTTATGTTTGATTATTGTCAAAGACGAATTTAAACTATATTATTACGATTGAATAGCCCAAATATTCTCAATCTCATCAGATCTAACCATGGGACAAGCATGGATGTCTTGTTTGGATGATTCTTAGTATGCCACCCATACCACCTGCAAAGTCACTTGAGATTTTATGGAAAACCCTTTTCTTATCTGGTGACGTGTCGATTTCCAATTGGGCGTTCGAGATTTTATAGGGCTGACTGGAATGCAGTTTTTTTGGGTTTGGATGATATTCACGTGTATCAAGAAATAAGGTGGGTTTTTGGATCTCTGGCAATGATTTGAAGGTCCTTTTTGTTGTTTGGTGTCCTCTGTCAATTTTAATGTGCGGTCGATGAGAATCATACGTTGTGCTTATTAGGTTCAATAACTTGAAGATTACAATATCAAATTGTTATGGCTTTTGCACACCCTTCCGGCCCCCATCCCATTATCCTTGTATTCCACTTGTAATTAACCAAAATCACACAAAATTTGCACCATAGAACAAGATTGATAATTACCCACTAGTCTACCTCAATCAGCCAATACACTCGACGTGTGTCAAGGACAGTTTATAACGAGTGAAACAAACATGATAGCGAGATCGCATTCGCATTTGTGTACTTTTTTAGGACATGCCTTTATTTAATGGTTTCATTTTTTTGATGTTATACACGAGATTATAAGTGATAGCCATATCACATTTGCATTTGTGTACTTTTATAGTGATATTATTTATGAGTCTTTCTTTGTGACGAGTATTTTACTTTGTTGGAATTTGCATATTTGCTGATGTGTTGTGCACAAAATTCATGTTGGTATGGACACTAGTTGGTTCGTTGTCAATTCTTCTTCGAAGTCGGCACTGCTCATTGTCAAAGAGTGTACTCATATTTCTTTTACCTATTGTAAAGAACCTATTTTTATTTCAGGCTGGTAAAAAAAAAATATATATATATATATATCTAGATTGGTATGTTTTAAAGTAATTTATTAAAAATACAAAGATAAATTTATATGACAAAATAACAAATAATACGATCAGGTTGGACCATATAACCAAAATTATAGATTCAAAGAATAAACTTTCTTGTAGCATATAAGAATTCTACTTATAAACAAAATTAATTATGAAATAAAGATATGAATTTGTGAAAGGAAAAAACAACTAATGTAGAAGAGAACCGTAGAATTTTGGATTATGAACTTACAGTGCACGACCTGGTGACCTAAAAGCCAAATACTCAAATATAAAAAAACCTATAAATCATGGAACGGGGTAGCAATAATTGATCACAAATTTACAAACAAATAATATTTCATTACTTGCAGACAAGTTCTTCATTCAGCAACAGTAATGATTAGGAAGTCAAATCAATTAAAAAAATCAACTAACGCTATAACTTTTATCTTTATTTGTAAATTGTCAATTTTTTTTCTCCCAAAGGTAGAATTTATTAAAATCATAATCGAATAAAAACGTTTACATCCTCTGTTAATATATTAAACAAAAACTCATGGTCTAAATAATCTCACAAGAAGGAACCACCGTGGCTAGCAACATGTGCCACCACTGCATGAGCAGCAAGGTTCCCATCCCGCGAAACATAAAAGTAATCAATCACAAAAAATTTGGTTGCAAAGTACCATATGTCGTGAAGAATCATAGAAAATTTGGTTGATTCAAATTGAAATTTAGAATTTAGAGATGTAACACGAACCATTTTCATTATAAATATAAAATTATGTCTCTCGATCTTAAATGAGCTAAACATTATTCTGCATGCAATTATAACGAAAATCAACAGTAATGTAAGAAGTTAAACAATAAAATTGGCCTTATTTATAGTATTTACTTTTCTAACAGAATCTTAAGGATAAAATGTTAATAAAATTATTTCTTAAAATAGTGAGTGTAAAAAACAAATTCTGAGAGGCATTTCAAATCATAGTTTGAATTTTGACTCAAATTAATTATAAGCTGGATAAAAAGTGGGCAACTGGGGCAGGGGCATTGTCCATGTTCTTCTGAGCGCAAGAGTCAAGAGTACTGCATGCAGAAAGAGATCCCCATCAAGAGACTGACCGAATGACCACACCTCACTCCTTATCTTAATATCTTCACAAATGTGAGTTGGAAATCCCACAGCCCTTCAAATCGGATAAACAAGTCCAGCCAACAACAACATAACTACTCATTCCTCCTCCGTACACCAATTACATTAATGAAAAATTCTGCGAGATTAGTTCTTCATTAATAAGTACCTGCGAGACATTTACTCTTTTCAGAAAAGATAAGGATCATTGAACCCACAATTCCCCTACACTCCCCTCTCTGGGTTGAGAGACTTAAGTTAGTCATCACACACTTAGTTAATTATAGTAATTTAATATTGAACTTGTAGTCTACATAGTTCGAACTTAAAACTGCCACTTACAAAATAAAATAAAAAATATTATTAAACTATAATACTATATGACGACATTTTCACATTACTATTT